CAGAGCAACAGCAAACGCAGTGGGAAATAAAAACAAAATTACCACTGCAAAGCCTATAATTGCATTTCAAAACCTACAGCCATTAATTCCCACAAGCGCCGGGATCAGAACTGCAAATAAAAGCAGCCGCCGATGTGTTCTGCATTCGGGGAGATGCTCCACGAGTCGAACGGAAATGCTTTCTGTGCCTGTAGGATTTTTTTTTTTTTTCACATGTGCCTTTTACCCCAAATAAAGTAATTACTTTCACAGAGCTGCCTGCGATCCCACGTCATTAACAGAACACGGGGTGGGTTCAGCAGGGGCTGCGGCTGGGGGCAGAACCTCCAGGACCCCGCGCAGCCACCGTGGCACCACGGGCATGTAGCCCGGTGGCTCCCAACGAGGCTGCAGTGGGGCACATGTCCTGTGCATGCTGGCAAACCCCGTTTCAAAACTTGTCATTTTTAGACCTGCTTGGGCCTGGGCACCTTAGCAAGGAGCGTTTTTAGATTTTTCTTCCTTTTTCTCGTGAGTGTGGCAGCAGTTTCCTGGGAGCAGTCCGGAACTGAGCAGAAGCGCTCCGTGTCAGAGCCATGGAGTCTGCCTCTCCAACAGATGCACAAAGCTGGAACCGTTCCTGCATCCCCGCGCACGTGGTGCTGCTCCGTGCTTTTAAGTGGTGCGGCTCGCTCTGCCTTGGCCCTACCCATATCCCATGGAGAAATGCTGTGCAGGGGCAGTGAGTACACCTCGTCCTCCTCTGCACCAGCCCCTGGGGTAATCAGCTGGCATGGCACCAGGAGGGGACAGGACCCCGAGGGGACACCGCGTCCGTCCCCATACCCTGCAGGTCCGGAGCTGCCGCGAGCCAGGCTCAGCCCCACGGCAGAGGGTACAGAGTTCAGCCCTAATGAACACAAAATGCAAATGGGGTTTTATGGTCATTATCTCCACTTCCAAATAACCTGTGTTTTAATTCGGCTTTAATTAAAAAGGGGAAAAATATACCCAGGTAAACAATTTCCAAGCAGAGGACGGGCCAGAGCAATAGAGACTCCCTTTGACCTAACAGGCCCAACTTTCTGAAACTTTTAATTAAAAACACCAAAAATTTTGCCACGGTAGATTGCTCAGAGACCTAGGCCTTTGAAGAGAAGTAATTACGGCTGCTTGGCCCCGTGCAGGGCGCTCTTTGAGAAGAAGCACCGCAAATGAAAACGGCCCCTGCCTGCAGCCCAAACCTCTGCGCAAAGGCACGGGAGAGCTCGGCCAGGACAGGGCCATCACCATCGGCCACGAGGAGAGCACGCCGTGCCCAGAGAGCCAACAAGGGTCAGCCTGGCTCCTCGGCCACCTCCTGCAGCTGGCGGGTCCTGATGTGATATAGGGCCAGATTTCTGTGCTTGGAATCTACAGGGGTCTTCAGTGCCCAGAGCTGCGGCCAGGCTCCCCAAAGTGCTCAGCAGCTCCTCATCGAGTGGCTGAGCCAGCTTCCTTCCTACAAATAAATGAATAATAAGATCGATGTTATGTATCCTAATGAGCCTGGAGCTGCCACTGCTCGGGTAACGCTCCGGCATGGCCAGCAGGCTCCCTGCAGCCATGGGTGCGTCCTGGGACTTGCTGCGGGGCATTTCCCTGCTCCCTGGGCATCCTCCCCCTGTGCTGCCGCATCCCCCAGCCTCCAAGGGGGCTGCGGGGTGGGCTCCGTGCTGCTGTGGGGGTGCTAAGGAGCTCGGCACCGAGGGCACTCGGAGAGGAAAGTATTTCAGTTTATAGGAGGATTTTTGTTGTGGCTTCAAAGAGAGTACATTGCTCGCCGAGTAACGGACAAGAATTCAATAGAGCTTCCCCTGAGCGCAGGCAGATTCCTGCTGCCATTGGGTAGGAAGTTAGAAAGAGAAAACATTCTGAAGAAACCAGAACAAGGAGGCAGAAAAACATAAGTGGCTGCACAATAAAATTAAAAATAGAAGAAAAAAAAAAAAAAAAAAGAACAGGAATATGTGTTAGAGATGGAGCTGCTCTAGGAATGAAAGAGCTGTGACAGGCATGTGTTGATGCCACCAGGCATAACAGAAAAAGAAAGAAAAATCGGGATAGCGTTTTTTTTTTTTTTAGCATTTACTCCAAAAAACACTTGCTGAACACAGAGCAATCTCTTTGATATGAAGGTTAATTGAAAGAAATGGTACAGACCCCTTGGAACTCTGTCTTAAATAGCTCCGAAGAAGAAAAGTTTGGGGCGAATAAAGGAAGACAAAGGAAGTGCAGTAGGAGCAGAAAAACAGAAGATAGAAGAAAGACTTGGGAAGACAATTGGGAGCAGCACACCCCTCTCTCCTGGTGGGTTCCCTCCTGCCCAGGCGCTGGGCATCGGCCCCATGGCACCAGCCCTGCTCCTGCCCCACGGGAGCTGCTCACCCCCTCACGGGGTGCTGCAGATCTGGCACCGTGCCTGGCTGTGCCGTGTCCTGCTGCGCTCGAGCAGCACGTGAGGCAAGCCCAGGAAGGTATCCCAGAACTGCTGGATGCAGAATATTGCAGGCTTTTTCCCCAAATAGCAATGCGAAGCAGAAAGTAAAGCAAAAAGGATGGGAAGTTAAAGTCGGGCTCTGAGCGTCCTCCCCAGGCCTCAGCTTGAGCCATTGCCTGGGTCATGAACCTCCACTCGACATTTTTAGAAGCCTGCGGATCCTGTTTAATATTCTTCCCCCAGGCCTCTTTGTTCCTCCAGGCTTTGCCCAGAATGAGAAATGAAAGCACCGAGCTGGGAAGCCAGGAACAATTCTTGGGGTCTGCAACTCCAGCAAAATCACGATGGGGCGCACACGGCACGGGAGAACTTCTGTGCCGTGGTTCCGGAGTGATTTCAAGATCAAAAAGGGTTCAAGATAGCCATCTGAACTGCTGGAAGCTTCTCGGAAAATGTTTGTCTCATCTCTAGTCAGCACTTCCTCAAAGCCAGGCTGTTTCTAAGCCCCTGCTGCAGCCGTGTCGGCTTGTAGGGCACGAGCAAGCTCCAGCTCCCTGCACTGTGAGACCTCGCGGCGCTCCTCTTGGCAGCATCACCCCACTAGTTTGGGCAGACCAGCCCTGGAATAGACCCCATGGGAGGGTCATGGGGGGGGGGGGGAGCACAGCTCTGCCACCACCGTGCCTGCCCCTCTGCACGGCGAGGGGCTGCAGGGGCTTCCCGAGCCTGTGCTCCATCACCACTCTTGGAGCTCTGCTGCAACCGGCCGCCAAAGTCCCGCGGTGCTGTCTGTGCTCCTCGGTGAGCTGAACGTGGCAAGCACTCATGATGCAAATTTTCCCTTCAAAAGTCTCTTTCCTGCAAACCCTCAATGAATCAGCTGTTGAAGTCTCCCACTGAGAGCACTCTTGCCAGTAAAAGTTGATAGCGCTAATGTTTGTGGAGCGGGAACACAAAAGGGGGAAGAAGCAGCTAAAGCAAACTAATCTGAACAGTCAAATATTTGCGGAAAAATACTTACATTATCTGCCCCAATCTGTCCCTGATGTTTCACCCCACGCCCAGCACAGATTGATAGCCACAAGCCCGGCCTCCTTCCTTTCATGAATGAAGATGCAGCTGTGTTTGCTTTGTGCATACTCCCTTATTGAAGTCTTTGAAAAATATTCTGCATAGAAACAATTCTGTCGACACATCACTTTTCCGTGTTTTCCTCTCCCCCCTCATTCTGTACCACCGAGGAGATTTGCATGAAAATGCTCGCAGTATTTCTGAAGCTCTCACCTGGCGTCTGGGTTTCTTCTGCTGCCTGCCCGTGAGGTCACAGCCTCTGCCTGATGATGCTGTTGGTGCTGGGGGCACCTTGCTGATGTCAGAGGCTGTGACCACGGAGCAGGGCAGGAGGTGGCTCACCCACGGACCCAAAGGGAACCCTGGCATGGAGGAGCAGAGCCTTGGTTTCTGGTGCGGAGCCCTCGTGCCCTGGCTCTCAGCAGCGCTGTGACAAGCTGCTTTTTGGAGCCAAGCCCCCGTCCCGAGTACCGGGCAGGCTGTCCGATATTGCATCTCACCTTGAACTTGCTGCTCAGGAGGAGGAAAGCACAAAGCAGAGAACAGAGCGGCCTCTCCCCCCGCCCCGCATTCCCCCAGCAGAGGTAACGGGAGATCAAAGGCTAACGCGGGCGGGGGCAGGACGGGGAGCCCCCAACCAGCAGGAGCAGACGCTTTGTGTCCCGCGTGGCGGGCACAGAGCCCAGGTGCTAGCCCAGATCAATATGATTTAGAAGATGCAATTTTTTTTAAATCTGCCATTGCTGTCACGGCCACAACCTTTCCCTCCGTTATTTTCCGGATGGCATTTTTTCCCCCCCCGTCTTATCTTCTTTCATCAAAACCTTGCTTCCTCCTGCTGGAATCGCTGCATTCCTGATCTATATGCAGATCAAACCCTGGGAACAGATGCTATTGTCAACTTTTATTAGTTTATTCCATTAAGAAAGGAAGATATCTGTGCAGTCACCGATAGAAACCAAGACTCCCTGCTCCCACCGAATGCCTCATCCCCTGGAAGCCAGAGCCAGCAAACAAAGTCCCCCCGAAGCTGAGCAGTGCCACAAATCAGGGGCCGTGTCCTGGCTGCAGACAGCAGCAGGGCGCGGGGGGAGCAGGGAGCGATTCCCCAGCACCCCCAGCGGCCCCGCAGGGCCCCGCACTGAAGGCAAATTGCTTCGGAGTTCGGCAGCGAAGCTCATGAGGAGAATTTCATTCCCCAGGATAAGCAAATGATGAGGCCACTTTAGCTATTTGTATGGCTTTCTGTATTTGTATTCTGCTTAAAATGCCACGCTCCCTCCCGCTCGCTGAACACCGTCCTCCCAGTTACGTGGAGGTTTCTTCCATGGCCTCACGCTTTGCTCCTGCGCTGTTTATGCATTTATTATTTACACACAGGCCTCCAGCTGCAACTCGCATGCTGGAAAAAAAACATTCTGTGCTGTGTTTGGTGAAAGATAAGAGAGGCAGGAGAGCTGCCAGCTCCGCACGGGGGGAAGGAGGAAAAACACCCACAGCCTTATGTCTCCGCGCTTGTTGGGAACTTGAACTCGGCTCCCAGGGGCCGGTGGAAAACGCTGCTAATCAGCTGAGCATTTCGGAGCCTCGCTGGAGCAAGGTTTGTAACTTAACCTGAGCTCAGCTGGGCTCTGCTCGGCTCCAGACACCCCCGGCACAGCGCGGGCTGTGCGGTGCAGAGCCGCCGGTGCCCCCTCCTCACCACCAACTCCTTCCAGCCCCGCTGCTCCCAGCCGCCCTTCAGCTTGCATTACATCTCCCCGCCGCTCCTTTGTCTTGCTTTACGAGCTCTGACAAGCTGTGGCCTTTGAAAGGAGCCCCCGCCTAAGTGGGGGCTCCAGAAAAATGCACATGTGGGGTGCAGAGCGGGGGCAGCCTCGCCTCACCCCCACCGCAGAGATCGCTCCCTCCTGGAAGTCATTTCTCTGCTGCTTGGCACCGGGAGAGCCGCGGGGCTGGGCCAACATTGGGGACAAAGGGCTCCGTTTTGGGCCATGCTTTGAAGTGCCCCAGGCCTGGAGTCCCTGTCCCCTCCCTTGGGCCTCGGGACATGTTGGGCACGATGGACAGATGTCCCTGTGCTGCAACCCGGAGAGGTTCACAAATGCCAAAGGAGCAGTTTGCTTTGCTCTGAAAGCCACCAGAGATATTCCACAGGTTTGGGGCAGGCCAAGCCACGTTGAGTCAGTTTCTGCTTGGTGCAAGTCCTCATCCCCAAGAAATGGGAAGGGAGATGGGGGAGAAATAACCCTGCAGCCGGACACAAGGTGGAAATTGGGAGCGGTGGCAGCACCGGGAGAGCACCGCAGTCAGCAGGGCTCCAGCAGCAATACCTGAGCCATGGGAAAAGGGAAAAATCGAGGGAAAGACAGCGCAGAAGGAGAAACGTAAGAGAAACCAGGCTAAGCTGCGCTTTTAGGGAGCAAGCTTTGGTTTACATTTTATTATGTTTTCCTGGCAGGCGTCCCAGAGCGCTGCGCATTTTCGGTGCGTGCGCTCCTGGGGAGGGGGAGCAGGAGCTGGTGGCAGCGGCTGCTGCCGGGGGAGCGGGGGCGAAGCGCAGCCCCCCCCGAGTGCCGGCCACGCAGCTCCTTAACGGGGCCGGGTGCTTGGAGCTCCTGGCCAGACCCTGCTTAACCTGGTGGCCACAAAGGCAGGTGGAGCAGAGCTCTCCCTCACACGAGACTCCCTGCACAACCCCTGCCTCTCCATCAGCACACAGAGCCCTGTGCGGGGTCACCCTGGGAGCAGATGGGTGCAGGGACCCATTTAGAGGCTCCAGGATCTCAGGACATTGCCGATTGCTTCCTTGCTCTGCCTTTTTTTACTAATCCCTGCCCCATCCCTGGGCTCCCAGGGCGGGAGGAGCAGAACCTCCTCTGGGTATAGAAAAAAGCAACAGGGGAAACTGAGGAAAAGGCACGGAGGGACATGTTTGGCCAGGGCACAGCAGCTCGGTGCAGACACAGGATGCTGTGGCTGCAGAAAGCGGCGATGCCCTCGGCTGGTGTGCTGGTGTTCAGCTCCTGCCTCTGTCCGCTGCTGCTGCCGTGAGCACACTGCACGAGAGCTCCTGCAGGTACCGCTCCCGCCCCCTCGGGTGGATGGAATCACTTAATTCTATTACCCAGTCACTTCCACGCTTGCTGCCTTGCGTCTGAACCAAAGCAGGTTCAGCAAGGGAGCACCAGAAGCAACTTCTTGTCGGTGCAATTTAAACTGACACCTTCCTTCCCAGCACTCTGCACTCCTGCATTCTGGTCTGATCCTCGTGCTGTGTCTCTCCCCAAATCCCGTCTCGCAGCGGTTGGTAGGAGTGATTAAATGCTTCCTCAGCTCCAGCGGCATGCTAAAAAAATGGGGAGAAACAGAGCACACAGCCATCGCCGTGAGCGGTTGCATGCGGCTGTCTTTGCGAGCAGCTGAAGTCTGCAGGCCCTGTGATGAGAGGCGTTTGGGAGACCCAGCGGTGGCTGGGGAGGGGGGGCTGTGCTGTGCCCCCCTCCTGCCTGCCCCAGCAGCAGCACGGTGCCTGCTGCCCCATCCCGCATCTCACGGGGGTCACCCCTCCACGTGTAGTCGCTGTGCATGCGTCACCTGCAAGCCGGGGAGGTTACACGAATTCTAGCTCTAAACAGAGCTTACATCCCAGCACGGCCTGAAGATTTCCCCTGCACCCACAGCCTTTGGTGTCCCTTTGCTTCCTCCTTCCTTCCCCCCGTTGGAGCTGCTTTGTGCAGGCTGAGGCTGGCAGAGCCGCGGCATCCTGGAGCCGGGGCGAGGAGCGAGAGCGCACGAGGGAACCTGCACGGGGCTGGGAACTTGGCTTGGCTCGTGGTCTCGGCTGTGATATGAGCTGGCTTCCCTTTATTGATTGCAGTAATGCAGGGGATTTGGAACGAGCTGGATTGGGTAATGGGCTATAATTTGGTCCAGGTTTTCCGAATACATAGTTGAATATCCAAAAGAGAAAAGAGGAACAAAAACTCCAAGTTCTGGGAGGAGGCAGAGGCTGGAGCTGAGTGTCTGCATGGTGTCGGAGGCTCCTTTTCTCACGGGGCAGTGCCTTGCATCATCCACCAGCTCAGCAAATTGCAGCTTAATCCTTTGTGGTGGCTTTGGGAAGGGGTGAGGTTGGGAAGGGAGAGGGGTGGGAATAGGGAGCCATGTGAGCTTTCTGCACCCATCAGCAGCCAGCTGGCGTGCCAAACTGCTGGGTGTTGCTGAGCCATCCTGGCTTTTCTGCAGCGGTGTTGGGTGCTTGGTCCTAAGGAGTGGACACTTTTCCCTTCCTGAAAGAAAGTCCCATAGGGCAGAACCCCTGGGAGGTGAAAGGCTTTAGCTGGCCCCAAGCATCCCAGACACTCCTGTCCTCCTCGGCTCATTCTGCCTCCAATTTTCACCCCTTCTGCCTGCTCTGGGAGTTCTCCATCCAGCAAAGCCAGGAGCAGGCAGTGCAGGAGCAGCACGGTGCGGAGGTGAGGGGCTGGAGATGTTCTGCAGGCAAGGAGCCCCCCAAAGGCATGGCCAGCCCCTCTCCATCCTTCCCTCCTGAGCGTGGAGCTGTCGCGGCTGCTCGCTCGCTGCTGCCTCAATAGCTGGGGGAGGGAGGGTTTGAAAGAGCTCATCCCAAGGCCACATCTGCTGCTGCTGCTGCATGTGTTTAAAACAACTCATTAAAGTTCCTGAAAGGCCTAAAAAATGAGTAATTCTCTAAATGAGTGAGTCCATAATAGCCCTCTAATAAGCTATAATAGGAGACTTGTGTGCCGCTGAGCGTGCCGTCGCGGCGCGCGGCTGTGCGGGGGCTCCCCGCCCCATGAGGCTGCGGCAGGATGGGACCCGGGCGGCGCACATGGGAGAAGGAGCAGCGGGAAGGATCGGGCACCAGGGCTCTGCCAAGCTGCGAGGCCTCGGGGAAATGTACGCGTGGAGAACCGGGCTTTGACTTTAGCGAGGTGGCCACGGTGCCACGAGGGGTTGGGTTTGTTGGGCAGGGGGAGATTTTCTCTTCCTTCCAGCACAGGTGGGCAGCAGGGAAGTAAAGTCCCCAGTAAAGCTCTGGGTGCTCTTGTCTCTGCATGTGCTTGGCTGCAGGAGAGCCGTGCTGGTGGCAGCTCCTCCCCAGTGCCATGGCACCACGGTGGCACCAAGCCACTGCCAGCTCCGCGCCCAGCCACCGCCCATGGCAGCACTGGGAGGGACACCCATGGGTGGGGTGCTGCGCTTCTCTTCCAGCTGGAGCAGTGCTGTGGAAATTGCTGGGATTGCTTCCCCCTGCCACCAAGCCCACATGTCAACACATGCCGCTTCTTGACAAAGCACCTACGGGCGCTGTGACATCCTCCCAGTACCAGCTGTGGGGAGCATCTACTGGCTCGCACCAGGGCTCGGGCTGGCTTTCGTTCAGCGATGTCCCACTGCATTGCGAGGGAGCAGATGACATTTTGCTGGGCTCGCGGGGAATTGGAACGTATCGGGAACTTCAGGATTCAAGATGTTCTGCTCTTGTTGAGAACAGCGCATGCTGCTATATTGGTGCGATGATGTACCAGGCTGCTGGCACTGCTCCGCGCTCTGACATCATGGTGGGACATAACTCACGGAGCCCAGCTTCCACGTGTGACCTGAGCGGCACATCCACGGGGTGAGGATGCTTCTCGCTTGCAGGATGGCAAGTGGGCCAGGAACACATGGCAACTTTCAGATGGGAGCTGGGGGCTTCGCGCAGCCTCTGCTTGCCAGGCTGGGCTCACGGAACCGATGTGCCACCTCCTGTGCCGCAGATGGAGCCACCGAGAAGCACAAAGCAGTTCTGAAGGACAGTAACTGTCATCACATACTGCCTTGGGATAGTTCACAGGCTTTGCTTTGCCTCTTAAAGCTGGGGGCTGAAATAAGGCCTGTCATTTAAAAACCTCGTCATGGTCATGGGGAAAGAAAACCTGAGAAATGGGATCGGGGTTTCCCCAAAATGCTCTAGAAGGTAAGGGAGGGAAAAGCATCATTCTTGCTCGACCTCATGAGGAGCAAGTTAAGATTTCTTTCAAAATGTTTTCGGGTTGGCCTTGACTTCTGCAGTCCTGGGGCTGTCGCTGCGGTGTTATTAAATAACAACATTTAACCCCAACCAAACCCCCCCGCTTCCTCAGCAGTGTGAGCGAGGGCTGGGCCAAACTTTGATTTCCTCTTTCTGAGGTCACCTGTGCTGGAAATAGGACCCGCCAGTGAGTCAGACGTTTCTCAGCAAACCTCAGCGCCACTGAATTTGTGGACATCTCAATGAATAAAACCTCCTGGCCTTTTCCTTCTCCTGGTGTGTGCAGCCTTCGTGCGCTGCCCTGGGCACTGCCTGCTGCTTGGAGGCACGGCCACGGCACGGCCACGGCACAGCCCGATGGCAGCCCGGCAAGCTGGGCCCGTGTTTATTTATCCAAGTGCCTTTGTGAAGTCCCGGTTAGTCACACAGGTGTCCTGTCCAAGAGGAAGGTCAGGGGGAGGAAAGGAAATGGAAGAGAAACAAAAGTGAGCCTGTGAGATACAGATGCATCCTTTGCCGTGCTCGGGGATGCAAACACGCTTCTCGTGGTCAGCGCAGGATTAGGGACGAGGTGCGTGCGAGCACGTGCGTGTGTGCTGGCCAGACCGTGGCCAGCAGTTTAGAGGACAGTAAAGCTCTCTGGGTACAAACAGGACGGATTCTTTCACTAGGAACTTGAACTTGGGGCCGGAGGAGTCCATGTGCCAGCTGCTTCTGCTCTGTGCAAAGAGCTCCTGGTGATGCTGAGGGCAGAACGTGGCTGTTGTCTTGCCTTCCTTAGGGATCTGGGACCAAATGTTACAGCCTGGCTGCTAGAAAGTGTGTGCCTCTCCTGAGGCTGGCAGGCAGGAGCTGCAGGAGGAGGCAGAGCACCAGCCTCAGCTTCTGGGCTTATTTTATTTTATGTATTTATTTATTTATTTTTGGTTAAAGAAAGCAGGGTCCCTCAGCACAGGGTGTGCAGGGCAGGTGGGATGCCTTCCTCACCCACCCAAGTGAGCTGGGCTGCGGGCTGTAGGTGGGTCTGGAGGCAGGGGGCACCCCCGGGGAACACCTCAGAGGGCCCAGGGGATGCGCTCAGCCCTCCCAAGCACGCAGCACACCGAGATCCGGGTGTTCCCCAGCATTTGGACTCTGATGCAAGCTGGAGCCGCAGACCCTGCTTCCACCCACCCAAAAGGCAAGTTTCTCTGGAAACCAGGGAAGAGGGGGAAATCCTCCCACCTCCCAGCTGCCCGCCCGGCTCGTGGCTGCAGAGCTGCCTTTCCTCCCCCTCTCTCACACCTCCCTCCATCTCTGCAAATCCCTCGGAGACGTTAGATCATTTTTCCAGCTCCTCCAGGTGTCCGTAAAACCAGCCGCAGATTCCTCCACGGAGAGGGGAGCAGTGGCGAGGGGGAAACCCGAAGCCGCAGCGGTGCCCCCTCCTCGTGCTTGTGGGGAAGGGCAGGAGAAGCTCCTCCAGAGAGCACCGGGCTTGGAGAGGGAAGGGGGCACCCCCCAGTGCTGTCGGGGGTCCCTCCAGGCGGGTGGCAGGCTGCCACCCTCACCCCGTGAGCACCGCGGGGCTCCCGCTGCTGCATGCAGTGCGCCCCGGTTTGGGTCTCGCTGCCAGGCCATCCCGCAGCAGGGGGCTGAGCACAGGGTGCCAGATGGTTTGGGGATGAGGTGGTGCTGAGCAGCCTCTCTGCTCTCAGTGTTTGTCATGGCCAGAAAGCCAAAAATCTGCCTGCTGGGGGAGAGGGCTGGGTCTGGGGGTGTGATGGGGGTGCAGAGAAGAGGCAATTTCTACTTTTCTCCTGATTCCCTTTTAATTTTTTTTTTCTTTTTGCAGGCAGAAATGATCTCATGTTTTGTCTAATCTAAATTCTGTCAAGCAAGCAGAGAGAAAGAAAAAAAGACAGACGGAAAGCGAGCAAGGGAAGGCTACACAGTTAATAAAAATCTGCTAGACACATGTTCGGAGCTGGGAGACCGGGAAGGGGAGAGCCGAGCGCCGGCGGTGCCGAGCCCTAGGCCGGGCTGAAATGCGTGCCAGGCTCTGGGAGCTGGGGTGAGCTGCAGCCTCCCAGCCCCACGGGGACATTTCTCCACCTGCCAGGGGCAGGGCACACGGCTGGGGGCTGTGGGGTGTCCCTGCTGCCAGCCCGCTGCGGTCACCGCTGGGTGCCGACCAGCCTGGGGGAGAGGCTGGAGCTGGAGCCCATGACCTCTGCCCGTGCTTCCAGTTCCCCCAGTCAGGACTGGGGGAGCTGACTGGCCTGGCAGAGGCTTGCCCTCCTCTGTGTGGCACGTTGCTTTTTTCTGCTTGCCCAGCTGGAGCAGGAGAGATGCTTCTGGGGCTGTGTGCGCAGGGAGCTGGGGGAGGCAGAGGAAAGCCTTTTCTTGCCATTCTCCTCCTCCAAATCCTCACCGTTCTCATCCGTCCTTCTCACCTGATGGATTCACTGGCTTTTGGTTAAAATACACTTTCTCAGCCTTTTCATTGCCTGGCTACAAAAGAATGTCTGTGGGCATGCGGAAGGAGGTGTAATGGGGGTGGGCTGAAACATCACCAGTCGGATATCCTCAACACGGCTTCACCCACTGATCCCTGCAGGAGACCTCTGGGTGGCAACTGCTGTGGGGCTGGGCAGTGCCCATCATCCAATTGTCCTATTGCCCAGGTGGGATGTGGACCACCGGGACAGGGGACGGGGGTTTTTGCTCTGTGCTGCCAAGGAGCAGGGTTTTGCCTCATCCAAGCAGGGGCTGGCAGGAAGGTGAGCAGCAGCACGGCTCTGGTTGGCACCTCCTGTGTGTGCTCATCCCAGGGACAGGCAGGGAGGCTGGGTACCAGCCAGTGAGTGCCACGGTGGGTCCCCTGAGTGCTCTCCATCCTCCCCCAGCAGCAGGGTCCCTGCGGGAGGGGCTGGCACAAGGAGGGCAGCCTGGTCACGAGCAGGGCAGGGGGAGAAGTGGTGGAGAGCAAGGAGGGCCATGGGGGCTTGATCGAGGTCTCCAAAAGAGGATCCCGAAATACATTTCCAGGCCACAGAAACCACACTGGAAAATTCGCTTTGAATTACTCGCTGTCAGGGACGGAGCCGGGCTCCGAAGAGCAGCGCTGAGCAGAGCGAGCCCAGACGGGGCCTCTTGGTGTCGATTAACAAAACAAACAAACAGCATTGCCCGTAATGAGCTCCGGCTTCGGGCGGGAGGAGGGGTGATTAAAACAGGATGCCACCGCTGCCATGTGTGCTGGGGACGGGCCGAGGGCTGTGCCCCGTGGTTGCCCACGTCCCCTGCCCACATCCCCTGCTCCACCGCCTGCTCACGGCACGGGGGATGCTGCCAGCAGCTGCCACCTGTCCCCAGGTGCCTTGGGGTCTCACACGGCCCTCGTGTCCCTGCAGGGCAAAGCAGCCTCTGTCCCCCCGAAATAGTTTGTTTCAAAGCAGGCTGCAAGTCAGGGCAAAAGTTTTGCTCTGCGTATCCCCGCTATCTGCTGTGCCCCTACCCGCCGGAGAGCAGAGGTGTGAGCACAAGGCTCGGCCCTCAGCACTTCTGGGACCACGGCCAAGTCCTCAGCATTTTCCCATCCCCAGCAAGGCTTTCACGTGGCTTGCGTGTGGCCGAGACCTGAACACGGGACCTGAGAGGCACAGGAGCTGGGGAGAGAGGCATGCCAGTGCAAAGCTTCGTCTGATTTTCCATCACATATTTATCTGCAGCACTCCGGGTGCATCATTAAAACCTAGCACATCCCCGGGTGCTGGGAAGGCCCTGCCTTTTCTGCCACTGCACTGACATACAAAGCAGTTTGGGGCCCGGTGTGTCGGGCAGTAATGAAACCCGTCTGGGAGCCGATCACTTCTTTATCTCCCCAGCTCCATGTTCCTGAGGACCACGTTTTTTAATTTGTGTTGGATAAACAGTATGGGATTGTGTACGCAAAGAAGCTCTAATTATCCCCTCGGGTTGTGTTTCCTTAAAGGAAATGAACTGGGCATGGCATTCCTGCTTGAGAAACGCACCAGCCCAATAGCTTCCAGATTTCTCCCCGTGCCACGAGAATCCAGCCGCGCGGCGCTGCGGGAGGGAGGAGAGGGGTGCTGCACGCACGCGGCCTTCCGAGGGTCCCGGGGACCCTCCTGCCTCACTGAGCATCCCCAAAATGTGGTGCTGCCCCGCACGGCTGGGGCCTGCTGGGTATAGGAAGAAGAGCAACCCTCACGCATGAGAATACCGCAGGGTCTCTTGTGCTTCCAGCATCGTGGAGACACCGAGAGAAGTGACCCAAGCACCACCAGCGCCGTTTCCCAGAGCCCTGTCCACAGCCCGGGCTGGGAGGTGCTGTGATGGTATCGATTTGCCTCATTAAATGGCAAAGTACAGCAAATGGATGCAGGGTGGGAAGCAACCTCTTCCCAGGGCAATCCACCCGGCGTGGTCTCCAGGGTTATCCCCAGAAGCTGTGAGCTGCAGCACTGCCACTCGTGCCCTCCCAGTGCCGCACGAGGTCTCCGGACACCTCTCCAATGTCACGAGTGCTCCTGGATAACCCCCCGTGGGCCAGATCATCTGCCCATGGGGGACAGATGAACCATGAATCTTCCGTATTTATCCCCGCTCCACAGCGCTCAGCAATCTTTATTTACACTGCTGACAATTGCTTTGGGCTATTTTTAGGGTTTATTGCTGATTGGATCTTTAATGTTCCGGGTAGTTAACTTGGCAGCAGTGGAGTTAATGCAGGAGGCTTTCACCTCTCCGGAGACCTGACATCAGACCCTATTTATGGCGAGTGAAAGCGAGCCTGGTGCTTCCTCCTCGTCATCCACTGACCTCCACGGATCGCCACGCAGCGGCCTGGGGCATGGATGGCTCTGGTGCCCGGGGGGAGGATGGGTTCACCGAGACAGCTCCGCTGGTGGGAAGCACTGAGGGTTGCTCTGGAAGGGCTGGGCCTTGCCAAACAGGGATTTGGGATGAACCCAAACTGGGGAGATGCAGAGAGGTTTGCTCAGGATGGAGCTGGGGTCTCATCCAGGAGGGCTGTGGGAGGCTGGTGGTGAGGCAGAGGGGACCAGGACCCGTGCGGGGTTTGGGCAGGGGCTGAGGGGCCAGGCCAGGACCGGCTGTGCCCAGCAGCTTTTCAGGATTCCTCCGAGGTGTGAGGAAGATGAAGGGGCACAGGTGTGGATCCAGAGCGTGTGAGGCAGGGGTTGAGGCAGGGGCAGCCCCGCACCGTGCCTGGCCAGCCGGCTGCGGCTGCAGGCCACGAGGCTGCGAAGTGTAACACAAACCTGCCCTTCCCTGTGCTTGCTCGCTGGGAACCGGCTTTGCCAAAGGATTTAAATTCAATTTGTTTTATTGAAGTTCCTTTTTTTCCCCCCGACCAATGCATCAAGCTATCATTTTACTCAGATCAGCTGCTCCCAGCCTCATCTTACGCCTCCCTCTCCGCTCCCCCCCACCCGCTCTCCCTCGCCCCCCACATCCCGCTGTCTGGATGAGCCCTCTAATTCTTCCTCCTCTTTCAAGCCCACCAATGCTTCCTGCAGCATTAGCCGTAGAAATGCCACGAATTTCCTTTGTGTTGCTGCTTGGAAAAGGCAGAGGGGTAGGAGAACAAGCACAGCGCGTGGCGGTGCCGGGGCTGACAATAATCTCTGCGGTTTTTCTCCCAGCCCCAAGTTTATCCCTGTGCAATTCAGCGTAGGAAAGCTAATAACGATGTGTCAGGAAGACCTGATGTATATTTGCAGAGTTGAATGGCTGGGCCGGCGGTGCCTCCTGCACGCCCACCCGGGGTTTATTTGAGCCTGAAGACCCCAGCCCTTCCACGCTGCTTTAATAGCAGTGATTTGTAGGGGTGGTCTCTTTCATTTTCCCACCTTCTTTCACTCTCCCTCCTGCCCACCCCACCGCCCCACACTGCAGAGCCCTGCCTTGAATGCCTCCGTGCAGCATTACCTGCATGGGCACTGTGCTGCTCGTCCCCCCCAGCCCCCGAGGGACGCAGCCCCTCGGTGCCAGCAGCCTGGCACACCCGCACGGAGGGACCGGGCACCTCACTGTGCCGAATGAGCACCGGGGCCTGGCTGCTTCACAGCTTGATTAACCAAACAGTGGTGACATCAAATAAATGGGCAGTACCCATGGCGAGGCAGCCGGCGTGCCACCAGCAGGTCCTCCCCTCCGGTTTGCATTCCTGCGCAGGGGTGGGCTCGGCTGGGCCGTGACCTGCCCAGATTTATGCCCCCGTTTGTCTGTCAGCATTGGGAACCATCTGCAGGGAAGGTGCTTTGGGGAAGCCGAGCAGGACGGTCCCTGCATGAGGACGGGTGCTCTGGTTTGCCCTCCCTGTGCACCACGGGGACGGCTGGTGCTGGGCCATGGGCACCGTGCTGAGCACCAGCAGCTGCAGGGACATCACCAGGGGGATGCACTTTGGGGTGGTGCCACAACCCAAGAGCTTCCCTCGTGCCAGGCATCACATACAAGGGCACCGCGGGAGTGCTGCGGAGCCTTGGATGGGGCAGGACAGGGCAGGACCCCCCCTGGCAGCTGCTCCTGCTGGGGAAGGGGAGCGTGCTGGGCACTGGTTTCTCCTCAGGACTTTGCACTTTGGTGCCATCAGCTCCCAAAGTGACCCCTGCAGCTCCTGTGGGAACCACTGGCTCGTGAGATTCCTGACTGATTCCTGCTTTCTAATATTTTAAGTCATTTGTCCACAGCACTGATTTATTTGGGTTCCTTAAGTCTGGGGAGGGAGTCACCTTGGGCTCGCAAGACTTCCCATATATCCTGTTTAGCACCAGACAGGGATAGGGAAAATATAAACATATTTTAGCAAACATAAACATAAAAAAAAAAAAAAAAGGAGGGGGAGAGAAAAAAAGAAGTAGAAGAGAAAAAAAAGAATTTTTTGCTTTTGCTACCTGTGACCTCCGAGTCACACCCGAGGAGGAGGAAGCAATGAAACGCGGTTCTGTTTCTTACCACGCAACACATCCCTTGCTGCCTCAGTATTTTGGCTGCCTTGCTGTACCAGCAGCAACACAGGCCTTACATCTCACAGATGGTTTGTTCTGGGGAGATTACCAAGTTACATCTTCCCTCTCTGCCTTTTTGTATAAAGCAGGGCCATCTGTCTGTTCCGCTCCCCTGCCTTTCCTCCCTGCACGACGCGAGCTGCGGCTGGGCGCAAGGGCTGGGTCCCCTCCCTCGGGCAGCACCGCTGGGCACTGGGCCCCCTGCCCTGTTCCCAGCCATGCAGGGCAGCTCTCTCGTCTTCGTGGGGGCTGAACAGTTTTCTGTCATCAACAGCAGAGAGTATCTCGACACAAACACTGCAAAATGAGCAGCCTTTTTCTCTTTGGTCTCTATAGAGACCTCACACGCCATACAAACAGCACGGAGGAGAATTTGTTTCTCGGTCTGGGGGCTGCCGTTGCACCCTCTGTTTGCAAAGCAGCTCCTTCCCCTGGGTGTTCGTAC